TGAAGGATACGACGTCGATCGGTGTGCAAAGGGCGGTGAGAGAGCGGCCGTGGAAGCCTATTTTGGACACAATTAGAGAGAGGTCCTTTACTCGGCGGAGCGAGTCGGAGTTACAATTACAAGAAAACCAAATTGAGGCCTTGAGAGTTGCGTGAAGTCTTGAGGGTAAAAGTGTACATTTACTTTTTATAAAATAGAGGAAAATTTTGAGGTCTTCTAGTTGACTATGGAAAAAAAAAAAAAGGAAGAAAAGATATAGAAACATTATCTGAATTTTTAATTGGGATTAATTATAAAGACTTTTTCTTTCTGATGTTGAACGTTTTAAGTTTAATGTTCATTGAAATCAAGAGAGTTGCTAGAAAGAAAGCAATATTTTGGAAAGCAATATTACGGGAGGAAGTTTTTGCTTGAACGTTTTGTCTATAACGTTTCTGAAAAACTGAATTATTCAAATTTGTCGTATGTAGTTTGGTCCCCTACTTGTACCAAAGCTTGTGCTGCAATTATTGAGTTGTCTTTTTAATATCAATTTCAATTTTAGTTAACATTTTTATTTTTTTTATATTGAGGTTTATATTTTTATTAAACAAAAAATTTTATAATTGTTTTTTGTCATTGTTTTCTTAAAGATCGATCAAATCTAGTAGAAAAAATATTAATAGAACAACATTTTTTTTTAATGGATCTTAATGGAGCAAATTAATAAAAATGTTTATTTGAAAAGATTGTGGATAAAATGTTTCTATAAAAACACATTTTAGAACAAGATATTAAAGATTATTTATTGGCATATATAACAAAAAGTATTTGAGAGGGTCATTTCATAATTTTTTTTTTTGATTATGACATATATAAGAAGAAATTATTCAACAGGACGATTAGAAAGAACATATATATGAATGTCACATTTGAGAAAGGGGAAAAAAGAAGGGTGTTTGTATAGTAGTCCCTCCTTATTCGCAGTCCTAATTTTTGACCATTAGATCAATCCAAAATCATATCAGATTAAAAAAGTATGCATAATAGACAGATTCTGATACAAATTTGACAACTGAAAAAGTAAAGAACACCGAAAGTCCCATTTTTATGGGGACTATCAGAAAAACTCCCAAAAAGAATGTATTATAGAGGGAAAAAAGGGAGGGAAGAAAGAATATTGGGGGGAAACAAGAAACAAGGGGATAAGAAATCCAAAAAAAAAATATTGGGCATATATAGGAAAAAAAGTATTTGAGAGGGTTATTTCGTAAAAAAAAGTTTTGATTAGGACATATATGAAAAGAAATGATTTCAATGAGACAATTAAAGAGAAAAAAAAATTATAGAGGGCACATTTGAGAAAGGAAAAAATGTATAGTACAGAGAAAAAAGGGAGGGAAAAAAAAGAAAAATAAAGGAAAAATAAAGCAAAAGAAAAGAGGGAGAGTTGCCATGTAGAGAAAAAAGAAGAGATGATCAAAATCCACTTTGCTTTTTTTTTTTTTTTATCAATGTAAAGATTATTTTTAAAATGCACCTTAAAAATTAGAGAATTTCATTAGTAGGATCAGAAAAAGGGAACAACATGTAGTTCTCTATGTTTAGTTTTTAGATATGTATTAAAAATTATTTAGTTCTCTATATTCAGTTTTTAAATCTGTATTAAAAATTATTTATTATGCACACATTTTCAATCTGATGTAGTTTTGACCAAGTCTAACAGTCTCAAAAAATTAGTGGCTCTACCAATAGGGAGGCTCTACAGGCGAAAGTCCCAAAAAATAAAATGTTAAAAACTACTCTCATATGAGTAAAAAGTGGAAAAAAGTGATTTTGACCAAAAATTGTTTCATAAACAATTTGTTCTGCATATTTTTCATCTGCAGCACTTTTGACCAAATCAAAAGTACTTTTGACCAGAGCAAAATTAATTTCTTACATTTTAATCTCATGTAATTTTAACTAAATCTACAAGCCTCAAAAAATTAGTGGCCCTACCAATAGGGAGGCTCTACTGGCGATAGTCCAAAAAAATAAAATATAAGAAATTACTCTCATAGGAGTAAAAAGTGAAAAAAAAAATAAGTGAAATTGACCAAAAACTGTTTCATAAACAGTTTGTTCTGCATATTTTTCATCTGCAGCACTTTTGACCAAATCAAAAGTACTTTTGACGAGATCAAAATTAATTTCTTACATTTCAATCTCATGTAATTTTAACAAAATCTAAAAGCCTCAAAAAATTAGTGGCCCTACCAATAGGGAGGCTCTATTGGCGATAGTCCAAAAAAATAAAATATAAGAAATTACTCTCATAGGAGTAAAAAGTGAAAAAAAAATAAGTGAAATTGATCAAAAACTGTTTCAAAAACAGTTTGTTCTACATATTTTCTATCTGCGGTACTTTTGACCAAATCAAACAGTCCTAAAAACTTAGTGGCTTTATTGGCAGGGAGGTCTTATCGATGAAAGTCCTACAAAATTAAATCATAAGAAATTACTTTTTTATGAGTAAAGTGGAAAAAGTGTATTTTTCAAAAGCACTTAAAAAATTAAATTGTACAAAAACATTAATAAAATTTTAAAAAAGAGAGCAAAACATTTAAAAGATAAAAAGATATAAAAAAAACTATGGAAAGGAAAAGAAAAAGGCAAAAAAGGGGAAAATTGGAAGAGCAGACATGTGGTGAGTTAAGGGAGAAACACTATTCAAGAGTCTTTTGGCTCTTTTATAAGAACTAATTGAATAATGTGTTACGCTCGTACATAATAATTTTATAAGTTTGATTCTGTGTTAAAACACGTGACATTCTTATAAGTTAAATCCATTAATTAAAGTGAAAAGGAAAAAAATATTTAAAAGAATCACATAAAAAAAGACTTAAACTTATTCGAGAGTTTTTGATTCAAAAAAATTAAACAGGGATATATTTAAAAAGAATTGTTTTAATTTTAATTAAAAGTAAGAGAAGAGTAAAAAGAGAAGTTAACATAAAATAAAAGAGTAAAAATGAGGTGTTAACGTGTGGCAAAAAGAAAAGCAACGCATAAAAAGATTAAAAAAAGTTAATCTTTAGAAATGAGAAAAAAATTATAACATAATAAATGAAAAAAGAAATATTAAAAAAAATAACATAAAGCAAAGTTAAAACAAGAATGGGAACTGGGAAGGAAACGCGTACATGCAAAGGAAAAATGAAGAGTCATTAGCACTTTTCATAATGAGTAATTAACACTGACCTCTTTTGTTTTATCAAAATTACAAACTCAGCTCTTTAACTTGAACTAATCATGTCAACATCTCTTCTATTAAATTTTATTAAATTTACACGAGAAATATCAAAATGCCCCATTTACCTTTTTTACTAAAACACTATTTTAGTAAGGTAAAGAAGAAAAAGTATATTAGTAAAATAAATCTTAAAATATAGGATTACACTGAAAAACAAGAGGAAAAATATTATAAGATGATAAGTGGAAAAATAATAAACAAAAAACTTAAAAAAAAAATGGGTAGTAGCATTAAGCAAAAAGAAAAAGAGGAAAAAAAAAAACTACTGACAGAAAAGGGAAAACAATGAGAAAAAGTGAACAAAAAATTAAAGAAAACGAGGAATGAAAAGAAGGAGAGTGGCCATGTGGAGAAAGAAGAAAAGCATAAAAAATTAGAGAGTTCCTCTCATCGGATCAGAAAAAATGAATTAGTAGTTTTCTATGTTCAGTTGTTAGATTTATTTTAAAAATTATTTATTATGTATATTTGTTCAATCTAGTGTGATTTTGATAAAATTTAACAATCTCAAAAAAATTAGTGGCTCTACCAATGAGGCCTACTAGCGAAAGTCTTAAAAAATAAAAGGAAAAAAAGAAAAATTAGTCAAAATTTGAGATGAATTAAAATTAATAGGCTAATAGTTTACATAAGTTAATAAATAGGCTAAATTACTGTTTTTGTGCATAACTTGTCTGGTTATGAACCATAACTTGACAAGTTATTGTCCATAAATCACAATTTTTATCCATAACTTGTCTGGTTATGAACTATAACTTAACAAATTTGTTCATAACTTATCTGATTATGAACCATAACTTGACAAGTTATGACCTATTAATTTCTATAACTAAAAATTAGCCTATATACTTCCTTAAGCTTTTCATATTGGCTTATTTTTTACTATTTCTAAAAAATAAAATGTAAGAAATTACTCTTATATGAGTACTAAAGTGGAAAAAAATTAGTGATTTTAACCAAAAATTATTTTAAAAACTGTTTGTTTTACATATTTTTCATAAGATGTAATTTTGATTAAATCAAACAATCTTAAAAATTAATAATATTATTGACATCGGTGAAAATCCTATAAAGTTAAATCGTAAGAAATTACTTTTTTGTAGGAATAAAGTGGAAAATGTGTATTTTTAAGAAACATGCACGTAAAAAATTTAAATCGTATAAAAACACTCACAAAATAATAATAATAAAAACATTAAAAGATAAAAAATACATTAATAGGGTAAAGAAAGGAAAAGAAAAAGCAAAAAAAAAGAAAAATTAGAGGAGCCGACGCGTGGAGAGTTAAGAGAGAAGCACTTTTTTTTTATTTAAGAGCTTTTTTTATGTTTTTTTCGGGAGCTCCTTTTGGGTTTGAAAAGCTATTGCGTTAGACTTTTATTTTTAAAAAAGTTTTTTTTGGTAGGATAAAAAATGAATTATGAATAATTATTTATTTTTAATTATTAAATTTATATTAAAAAGTATTTATTTTATGCATTTTTAATATAATATTATTTTAATTAGATTTAATAATTAAAAATTTATCTTCTAGTAAGTAAGTCCTGCCAAAAAGTGTCTTTAAATTATTAACTTTTTTTTTATACTTTTGTACTATTTCTCATAAAGAAATACCTTTATTTTCCTTCCGTACACGACCACAATTACTCTAGTTCCTTTCTCCATCACTTTTTGTTTTTTTTTTCCTTACCACTCTTCCCCGTACATAATTTAGAGGCGTTTGGTAAAAGGATTCGTTCTCTGATTCGAATCATGATTCGTGATTTGCTATAGTATTTTTTCTCATAAAAAATACACATAAATTAAAAATGGTTCGAATCACATAGTTTGAATCCTCCAACCAAACGAACTCTTAGTCTACATCATCATTTTCTCTTTTCAATCCTCCTTTCCAATTTCCGTCTGGACACTCCAAAAATAGGCAACAGTGAACAAGATGATGGCAAGGAGTTATTTTTAATGTGCATTATAGCAAGGAGTTTTTCGCACTCGTAGGCCTTGAAGATCTTGAAAATATACGAACTCTTTTAATCTTTATCAATCATTGTACGCAATTATAGTGCCAAGATGGATTTACACTTTTTAATTAAAAAAAAGGAGTTTCTCTCATATTCTCTTCCTTTTAAGAATACTAATATTTCTCTGTTTTTTTAACTGTTACATCTAATTAAAATCATATTAAATTAAAAAAATATACATAACAAATAAATTCTGATACAGATTGACGATCGAAAAACAAGAAATACTGTTGTTCTCAAAAAAAAAAAAAAACATCAAAGAAAATCCCTTAAAAAATAGAAGAATTTATAGTAGGTACAACCGCAAATTATCTTATCATACTACACAATTTTTAATTACTATCAAATCTTCATCAAAGTATGCATATATGTTACAAGAATAAAATAGATAGTATGGCGGTGGAGGGCTCTTTTGGCAGGGGTGCCGTCTACTGAGGTTGGTGGCAGTGGCAAAGGTGAATCATTCGTTGCCGTTTGATGGTCTGTTTTCGGTGGCTTCGCCGCTTGGCTCTCGAAGCCTTCTTAATTCCTTCCCTTGTGGTCCTCTTGCCGGCTGTGTCGTCATTGGAAGCTTGCGCCATCGATGCCCTAGGTTTTCATTTTGCTTTGCTTTGTGTTTTAGATTGTAATAAAGGTGTGGCGGTGTAGTTTTGACCTTTTCTTATTTTATTGTTTTGTAACAACGAAGGTGGTTTTCCCACTGTCTCGGGTTGGTTATGTCTCCCACCTGGTTGAGTTGTTCACTAACGGTATGGATAGTTTGGTCAAGTTAGAATCTTGTTTGTATTGTGATGCTGATGTCCCTTTTGAGTGAGTGTTGGTGTTCTGTCCCAATAGCACTCAAAAGCATATTTCGATGGGAGGGGTTTTTTTTTTTTTTTTTTCCTTCAAATAGAGCCTTAGATGTGTTTGATCTTAGTGTGCCTAAGTTATCTCATATTCTCGGTCCTCAGATGTACGTCCGTCTCCCTATTGGGTTATGAACTACACCACATGTATAATATTGTTTGCTTTGGACCTAGACCTGAACGATTTTGCTCTTGAGCTTTATTTCAAAAAGTGTCATACCATTGGGAGGTATAATTATCCTTCCTTATAAATCATCACCTATAATATTTTTCAAGTGATGTGAGATTGTACAACTTACCTTATCTTGACCATGTTTACCTCATGTTTACCGCTTTTAATTGACGGCTGTTGTAATTGCATGGCCTTTAACCATGTTAGCTGGTTGCCAAAAATTGTAGTTTTGACCATTAGACGTCATTTTCAATTTTAGACCCTTTGCTTAAAACTCACAAGATATTAAAGTGGTTATTTCATTTTTGTCCTCTTTGATATTTTGGATAAGGGGGATATTACAATGAAGGATGTTTGTGCAAATCTTTTTAGAATATATAGATATTTTGAAAAAAAAAAAAAAAGGGGGTTAGTTGAAAATATATATTTAAATATCTACCTTTTATTTCCTTTCATTTTATTTTTAAAGCCCTCATGAGTATATCCATGACAACCTAATCTTGTTACCAAAGATTAGAAAATAAATCTTATAAGATACATTCAAAATTTCTTTTCCCCAAGGCTTAATTGAAGAAGAAGCAATACCAAAATAACTTATAAGTAGGGTTCCCGTAAAAAACACTTAAACAATCTCGATGTTGTCAAGGTAAGTTTGGCATAAAGTATAAAGATTACCCCCACTATAAATATGAAGCTATTCAGCCCATTTAAAGGTAAGAGATAAACATGGGGCAAAAGAGAAGATGGGGAGAGCAAGAAAAGAGAAGTGAAAAGACGGGAGAGATGAGAGAGAAGTTATTATGTTTTCATTTATCCAAGTTATTTTTGAAACTCATGTTTTCATGTTATTATTGTTGCTATGGTAAACATGCTTTTAATTAGTGTATGGTGAGATGCATTTCCTAACCAACTTAAAGCAGTCAAAGTAAAGGCCTACATAAAGCATAAAACATCGGAGTGATCTCATATCGTCTAAATATAAACATAACTACAAGTACGTATGGATTTTAAGTCATCCCACTTAACAGGTTAACTTTTTAAAATATAAGTCCAATCTGTTATAAAGTCCAATTCTTCTCCCACAATTTATTTGACTATAATTCAACTTGTGACGATAATAAGTACTAGACAATAAAACAATTCAGACAATATAATTAAGGTCCTAATATATAAATATAAGTAAGAGATATGATAGAATAAATTAATTACAATGTAATCAACTGTTAAATGGTATAACAATTGGAGCTGGTGGGACAAAATTTTGCATAGGTAGGCAGTCCCAGCCACTTTCCTTGTCATAAGATACAATAAAATGCTTAGGAGCCCAAGTTTCGGATCTTGAATTTCTGTCTCTTAAGAGCTCCCTTTGTTTTTCCTCAACAGCTTTCTTCGCTTCCATTGCTTTTCCCCAGTCTTTGTTTAATATTCCTTGGCTCACCTCACCCCACACTAAAGCTGATTCACTTGGCCATACTCCCTATTAAAATGAAGAAATTAGTCAACAATCCAAGGGTATGATTATAACTTTCAATTTAAAAGAGAAAAGCTTAATTTGAAATTAGAAAAATCCACAAGGGCAAATATACAAAGATTCAATTAGCCTTTTGCTCTTTAAAAAAAAAAAAAAGGCGGACCCCAGTGCCAAAAAGCCTCTCGTATTATGACAGACTTGGGGGAAAGCTCAATCCCATATGTACGCAGCCTTACCTCCCGAAGGAGAGGTCGTTTCCGGGATTCGAACCTTAGACCGCGGGTGCAAACGCAAGCGCTCCCACCACGGTGCCAAGGCCTGCCTTCAGCCTTTTGCTCTTTTAAGCATGCAAAATTGTAATATAATGGTGAACAAGTAAGCTTTCAGTGCTGAAAGTAGACGCAACTCTGATATTAAGGTGAATCAATATAAATCTAGTATTCTTGTTTGTTTGACTTTTGATTTCAACTTTCGATAATATAGATTTAGGGCGTCTATTTCTTAACAACTTATACATGATAACTTAAGCAACAGTTAAGTAGTTACCTTTGGATCCTTGACCATAGGGGTCTTAAGTCCTGAAATGACTTCTTTTGAATTGTAAATAACTCTAACTTTACCGCTGGTGAGGTCCTTAACCGTGACAGTTCTGCAATAAAATTTAAAAATAGAGACCAAATAACAAACTCTCAAACATTTGTGATGTACTTACATACGTGCCAAGTGCAAAGCAAAAGAAATAGAAACAACAATATATATGCCAAGAAAATCAATGTGATTGCTTTTTTATTTGTGTATATGATAAGCTCCAAATCCACGGTTAGAAGTATTTGACAGAATTCGGAAGAAACTAACAGAAGCTTGATTGTATTAATGACACAAAATTGATTACAGAAAGATAAGGGGATTTTTGAGAGATCCCTTACTCTCCTAGGGTTCCTTCTCTCGAAAGTTTGTACAAATGATTCGATCCCCACTTATTCTACCTCCTAATCTTATTTATACTACTAACTCTTATTCCTCACACTAATTCCAAGAACTAACTAACTAGTAACTATTTAACAAATATAACAAACCACTAACCACTTATTATATTGATTACTAATTACTAACATAATCCTATCATTACTCCCCTCCCCAAGACACCTTGTCCTCAAGGTGTGGTCAAGTGACTGCAGTGGAATGACGCCATCTCCTTCCCATGTCGTCAAGCCCACCTTTCAGAATGTTGAAAGGCATCGCAATTCTTGAAGAGCCAACTTCAACGGTGACAACCCAAGGTGCCACGGAAGTGTAAGTGAGAGCAGAGAACTCATTAGAGCCATTGTTCAGTCCACAAAACATAAAAATTTTAGATTTTGGAGTTACAAACTCAGAAATATCAGATCTTCCATTTGCAGAGTGTCCAAGTCCTATTCCAATGAAGTCAATTTCTCCATCCCCAACCCCAGGAGTGCTGGAATTCCCAGACCCAGTCCACTTTGGGCCAAAATTTGAGGATCCATTACATATCTTGCTGAAATTAGTCCCACTTTTCCTGAAATTTTTAGGCTCAACCCCTATTGAGCCAGAAGTAAGCCCAATAACGTTGGAATTATGCAGCCCAGACCCAATCACACAAGAATCAAACCTGTCCACACTGGAAACGCATAACCCAACCCTCATTTGGCTGGAATTTCGAAACTCAGCCCCACCGACCAAAGGTTTTGAGCCAAACTTCCCTATCCTAACCATATTATCACCGGAATTGAGTGGGTCACTACTATTCCGGCCGGAAATAGCCTCAACTTCACCAGAATCATGTGTCCCAGTCCAAACCGCAGCCAAATCGCCAAGCCCAGCCTCAGCTGCGCCGGAAATTGTGAGCCCAGCCCCAAACGTCGCCGCGCGAGGCTGCCGCTTCCCCTCCAACCACAGCCCGCCGTCAAATCACACTCCACGGCACCGCTCCCCACTGATCTGACCTCCAGGTCATGGATCCAAAAGATTATGGTCGAATCGTAACTCCCGCCACTCCTGAGCATCACCCAGGCCAAATTCAGCGTCGATTAGCCCTCCCCGTTGCAGATGTGGGCTTTCCAAGCCCCAATCGGCGTCGATCTGTTGGTCCCGTCGCAGATTGGGTCAATTATGGTCGAGATCGACCCCTCCGCCGCGCGGGTTCTCCTCGCGTTCAGCCACCTTCCCATTTGGTAGTCTAAACTGCCCTTCCTCTAGCACCGCTCGTCAGATTCGGTCTCCCAAATTTGGTCGCGAACTGTCGAAAATCCTAAGATTTGAAACTCTAGGATCTGAAAACCTAGATTTCGACTCCAGATCGTTCATCTTGCATTCTGATAGCTCTTGACGTCGATCTGCTGCTATGGTCGACGCCACCACCGCTCCAAATCTCATCTCCATCCTCTTTAGAAGTTGCTCCACGTTTTGAACCATGGCTTCAATCTTCGCAATAGAACAGTTTCCCTTTGTTGGTTGGAAACACTGAAACAAATGCATCTTAAAAGCACTCCAACAAACGAATGGCCGTCTTCTATCCTCCCATTGAAACCACTGAAGAGCTTTACCTTCCATGAACTCCCCAACGAACATCACTTTTTCTTGCTCTGAAAATTGATTTTTCAAGAAATATTCTTCTACTCTTGCTATCCACGCATCCGGATCTTCTCCGGAAAACATTAGCTTCTCTAATTGCTGCCAACGTCCATATGTTCCCTCCATCTTCTCTGGATTTTCCCTAAGAAAGTGCTCTGATACCACTTGATAAGCTCCAAATCCACGGTTAGAAGTATTTGACAGAATTCGGAGAAGCTAACAGAAAGTTTGATTGTATTAATGACACAAAATTGATTACAGATAGATAAGGGGATTTTTGAGAGATCCCTTGCTCTCCTAGGGTTCCTTCTCTCGGAAGTTTGTACAAATGATTCGATCCCCACTTATTCTACCTCCTAATCTTATTTATACTACTAACTCTTATTCCTCACACTAATTCCAAGAACTAACTAACTAGTAACTATTTAACAAATATAACAAACCACTAACCACTTATTATATTGATTACTAATTACTAACATAATCCTATCATTACCACTTATTATATTGATTACTAATTACTAACATAATCCTATCAGTATAATAGCTTGAAAACTCTTTAAGACAGCATAAGTGATTTTTTTCCTCAAGGTTTAAGTGTGTAAAAACAATTGAATATATTCTGCTTCCACCAAATTAAGAACATTGAGAAAAAGAAAGATTGTACTTGATTTCATAGTTCACAACAAGGGAGTTAGATTTGTTTACTAATTAATTTTTGGATGTAAGAAGAAAGAGTAAATAATTTATTTCATTAGTCCGAAATAATAATTAAGTTACCTGTCCCAATGGCCATTGATCTCGAAAAGAGGCTTCATTGAAGAAGATTCAAAAATCGTTCCCTTGATTGATCCAGGATTTCCTCTCAAACCTAGGAAGGATCTTCCTCCATATGATAATTTGGCTTCAAGACCCGTCTCGTAGCATCGAATTCGATCGTTTCCTGTCCATTCAACTCCGGGCACTGGAAAGAACTTAATTGAAAGTTTTGGAGAGTTCATTACGTAAGTTTCTCCATAATTTAGGAGTTTCAGCTTTCTTGTTCCCCTAATCTCAGCCTCAACCGATGTGCCTGCATTATTAGCTTTCCAATCTTAATTATAATGAAAATTGATAATGAGTAGTTCTAGAAAGAATGATGCTAGGGCAACAATCGTATCCAATACCATATATTAATTAAATGTGGGTCCCACAATACAAGGCCTCACAATATATATGGAGTTTTTTTTTTTTTTGGTTAATTGTGGTGTCGGATACTACTGATATCTCCAACCATTTCAACATGTTATAAGTTTAGTTTAGAGATATTTTCTTGCTTATCATTAATTTTGATGTCTAAAATTTAAAGGTTCCTACATTAAGTTCCAAAAGTAAATATAAGACAAAAACAAAATACAAGAAACTACTTGAAAAAGTTATATAATAGTGTTTCTATTTTCCCAAGGAGTTTTTGTGATCATCAAGTCCAATATATATTCTCGTTATTAACGCCCAAAAAAAAAAAAACGTACAATATTCTTCTTTCAATTACATTGAAATGCTAACTCAAAAGGGATATATGCGCTTTTCAAATTTTCTTCAATTTGTGTGGAAGTATGGCAAGTTTCAATGATCAACATCCATTTATTAAACAAAACTAAGGTGCATGAATTTCTTCTATGATTACTATTGAGAAGGGAAAATAGCAACGAAGAACATAAACGGTAGATATTGTTTGCACCATGATAAAAATGTAATAATTATTAAGGCCTTGATTTTTTTGCTCGTTTGATTTGAATTGAAATACTGTAGTGAAAAAAATTAAATTTAAATTTTTACGAAAAAAATAATATAATAAAAAATTTGAGTTGTGATTTAAATGATAAAATGAACGAAGTCTGATTATTCCCGCAAAAAATAATGTAATAAGTGCAACTGAATGAGGCTGTGCATACCAAAGAATTTGGGAACAGGATGTTGACACCATAGCAGTTCAAGGTTTTCTTTCTCATCCGTTGCATGAAGGACAGAAACTGGTGGGTGATGTGATATCTTCATGCAAATTTACAAGCAGTAAAAAAGCTTCATCAGAAAATATAGATGAATATTTAATTTTTGTACTATCCAGAATATTTTATTAAAATCAACAGGGATGTCATAAAATGTAAAGCTGTACAGATGACATCTATTAGATTTTGTGTCAACTAACATTTTAGAGGTCGAGACAAATAATTAAAAAAAAAAGAGCTTATTACATTGGCACCTCATGTATTTTGTTAAAATAATAGATATATTCTCTTGATCGAAACTAATTTTATTAAAATAATAGAGATATTCTCTTGATCGAAATTAATTTTGTTAAAATAATAGAGATATTCTCTTGATCGAAACTAATCACGTTAATACCTCTCGAGTTTTAATAAAAATTACACGGACACCTCCTCCGTTAGTTGACTGCAAATCTTGGTCGTTAAATTTTTTTCAAATGCAAAAAATGGCCCTTTATTTACCAGAAAATGTTTCTATGTTGTACGTAGTATGAGAAAAGATGTGTATACTCTTATTTAGCATCAAAACATGAGTTTAGTTAATTTTTACACATTTATAACTATAATTTTCACTCTAATAAAAACAATTATATTTTTTTATTTTTCTTTTTCTAAAACTCCTTTGTTTTAATAATGTTCTCGATCCACTAAACTTGTATATTAAATTAAAAACCATTTAATATTTGGTGCATTATTAGGATCAACTATATTATAATGAAAATTAATTTAATTAAAAGAATAAATTAAATTGGACAGTTTGATCCTAATGATGAAACAAAATTGTAGTTTAAATTAAACTTAAAACATTAATGACAAAAAATATAAGACACCAAATTAAACGCATTAACTTTTTTAACCTATTTTTAGGTTGACTCTTTAAAAATATTACAACATATCTTTACACCAGTTTTTATTAAAAGAATCAAATAAAAAAGAATGAAAGCAAATCTAACATAGGGGTAGTTTTGACATTTCTTACTAAAAGTTAATAGAGTTTCAAATAAAAGGTGTTGTTGTTAATAACTTCAGTCAATTAATAAATTCCGTCAAGAGAGTGTCATTTTAATTTTAATAAAACACAAGGGGTGTTATAGTAATAAGTCCTAAAAACGGCTTTTTCAGACAGAGACAAGGAAGTAGGGACATATATGTTATAATAACAAGTCCTAAAAACGGCTTTTTCAGACAGAGACAAGGAAGTAGGGACATATATAACTAGTTCCAATGAATATGAAATAAATAGTAATGGAATAACTAGTATCATATTGCTAGTACTGCAGGCCGTTGACACATAAAAAGAGTGCACCAATTTCTATTTGGTTTTTTATGAGAAATACAAAGATGCCATCCACAAGAAGTCTTCATTTTTGCCGCCCAATAGTAAAAATTAGAGCATCTATATCAGTTAATTTTTCATAAAATAGAGCAAAATGTTTTTTTTATATTCTCCAGAATATTTTATTAAAATCAACTAAAGTATCATAAATGTAAAGTTGTTGGATTTTAGTGGTTTAATATGTAATTTTCTTTTCTTTTTTTTTTTCTAACCCAAAGAAAAATGAATGAGCCCATATAAGTCCCATTAGAGTCGAAAATTGTAGGAGTTCCTCTAGTGGAGCAGAACTCCGCATCTCTCCTAATCCCACTATGATGAACCACCATTGAGGCTGAATTTATGTGAAAATTTTCTATTAATTAGCTTCAAGAAGTAAAAATTGATGCTTCTGATCATCACGTAATTATAAGTATAGTTTAGCAGTAATTTCACGTCTAACAAACAAAAAGCGAGTGAACGAACCTGTTCAAGAAGAACATTGAGGGTTCCTCGGGAAACGTGATGGGTCTCTCCAAGAATTGGGTTGTAAGGAGCAACTCCAAAATCCACAGGACGAAGAGTGGAAATGCTCCATGCTACTACGGCCATGAACCTCTCAGAAGGGCTCCCCTCAATGTTACACTTTCCCAACATGTCATCGCCAACACAATACACTGACTCACCATAACATTGCAATTGTGACTTTGGAATGTTGAAAATGGCTGGCAGCTAAAAAAAATAAAAATAAAAATAAAAACAATAAAATAAAAATCAAGTTAATTAGCACAAATGGGATAAGAGCAACAATCAAGACCCTATTCATTTCACGGATTTGAGTTTAGAATTCGAGTTTTACTGCAGCAAAAAGCTCTCAGAAACTGTCGCATCTAACTTTTTTGCTACAGTAAAAAGCTCTAACATAAAATCACATCTCAACTCGAATTAAAAACTCAAATTAACGAACTAAACGAGCCCCAAATATTATTTTATTTGGCTGTGCCGGTCCTTGACAAGTCATTATTCTTCTTTCATATATCTGGCCAATTATATAGACACAATTTGTAACTGGTTGCTGGTATAATTTATCTGTAATTTTGAATGCTTAATCTTCTTATAAAGTATAAAATTCGAATCTCTCACTCTTAAGTTATATAAAAACAATTGGTAGTCATGATTAAGAAAAGTAACATGTGTTTTTATAGTACTTTAAAGCTAATTTGCACGGAGAAAAAACATGATAAATTTGGGAATGAAGTGTCCCTTTTCATCTTCTTAAATAAAAGGATTAATAATTGCTAATCTAGACCTAATTGGTCTCAATAATGCTAAGAAGGACCAGATTGAATTTTGAGAGACCCATTCAGCCTTTGCACCACAGTTGATGTTAATCTACAAACTAACAAAAGCTTGAACAAATATTTACAACGACGTTTTTCCACCTAATTACGGATTTCATTATTTGATTTCACCTACTCAGTTAACGAGACTCATTTTATGTGAATAGCGGGATTTTAACTCCATCGGATCATAAGAGTGCTCATGATTTCAACATAGTTGGATATAGTAAAATTATGAGTAAAGTTCAGGGACTATTTTCATGATTAACCTAAAGGATTATTATTTAAAAATAAAAAGGGAAAAAGAAAAGTACGCAAAGACTTACCTGCATTCGGGTGAGATCTGATCCTGACCGTACATTTTTAAAGAGACTGAGAACCCGTTGAAGCATATTGGGGACCCCATCTTCATCATTCACGTCTCCCTTTAACGACAATGGCTTTGTGAGAAAAATCTGCGTCTCCTTCTTCCCTTCCATGACCTGAAAAACACCCAATCAATTCCCAAAGACATTTTGAAATATTGTTTCTGATTACTTATCATCAAACACTCAATGACACTTAATTTTATTCTATATATATATGATTAAAATTGGAAAATTTTGTAGATATTAAGTATAGTATTAACCCTTCAAATATAAAATGAAAAATCCCTGATGGGTATAAATATAGAATGTAGTATGTAAATTAGGTATTTATTAGTTTTATCAGCAAAGCGGCCTCCGCCAACACCGTCCAGAAATGACAATGACAATAACAGGACTTATTTTACTATCAAACAAAAAATAAGAATTTTTTTTTTTTTTTGGACCTGTTTGGTGTTGTTTATAGAAGCTGTTTTTAATATGTTTTTATAAGAATCTAAGCAGGCTTAGCGTACCATATTAATCATATGTCTGAGAAAAGAAAAAGATATTGGCCATTTATGAGGAATTCAATAATATGTAAATGTGATATTGAAAAAAAAAAAAAAGATATATGCTTAAGATCTCTTATGATAGTGGCATGGGTGGATTTAGGTGAGGGATTGCGGGTTTAATTTTGTCTTGTATAAAAAAAAAATATAATTGTGGGTCAAATAACAATTTTTCCGTAATTAAGAAAAATAATAGTTGGTAAGAAAACTACCAAAGCTCATGCGCGGAACTCAATAAAACTGAATATGCTAACTAACAAATTAATATATTGTCCTTGCCTTTTACAGGTAACAATTAACATATTTGATTAAAAAAAAAAACAAGAAAAAAAAAATGAAATGAACAATCTGCTTCTAATTAAAGTATTAAACATATGCACATGTAGAGATCCGTTGAAAAACAAATTAAAAGTCAAAAGGAAAAGGACTATCAAAATGGAAATATTCCAAGCGGAAAAACTTAAAAAAGAAAAATAATAAAAAAAAACCACAGCAGAAACAATTAAAGTATATAATTTTGTTCATTTTTTTTTAGAAATAAATAAATATATCACGGGCCGCGGCCTGCACGAATTTGGATCTGATAATTAAATTGCAGTCAAATGGGAAGCAACAATATTGAGGAAGACAAATGTATCGTTCATTTTACCGATTCAAGTTTTCAGTTATAAGTTTTTACAGTTAAAAACTTTTAAAAATGTCACATTTAACTTTTTATACTATAGTTAGAAGCTCTTAAAAAATGTTACATATAAATTCAAATTGAAAATTCAAATCTATAAAGTGAACGAGGCCAAAGATGTTATTACACAATCCCAAACGAGAATATATTATATATATATATATATATATATATGCGTGTATATATAATAGCACACGGCCTCCCATGGTTATACACGAAAAAATTGAAAAGAAAAGGCAAATGAAAGGAGACGGCAAGAGAGAGAGAAGAGAGAGAGAGAGAAATCACTGTATATGTTTAATATTAATTAGTGTTTTTGAAAACAAAATTAGAATCTTCTATAAAGTAGTAAAAAGTAGTAAAAAGTATAAGGAGATCGACGAACTCACAAGATGATCTTCTTCTTCTTCTTCTTTTTTTCTTTATTTTGGCCACACGAATTAATATCTATAGCACATTATATTTAATTTGCTAATTGCTTAAGACACATAAAGGCATTTTTATAATGATATATAAGCGGAGTGGTTAAGCTCAAAACTTGCACGCCACCACAAAAAGCAATATTGTAAACCAATGTTAGCATACGATCAAAAACTCTGAAAAAAGTTATTAGTTCCTTAAGAGTGTCAAAAAAAAAAAAAAAAATTTATTGGTTGATTTTTCCCTCCTTTCTTTTCTTCATTTTGACTTGAAACTGACAAAGAGAGACAATAAAACAAAGTAATAGTAAAAAAACGACAGTTACTTGTTTGAATTGAGAATTTAAAATAAAATATAAATTCATGTCAGAGAAAATATTATAATAAAAAACTTAAAATTAAATATTTATATGCAAAAATACTGTAACAGGTATAAAATTTCTTTTGAATAGCAATGTACGTAAAAGCGTATCTTATCTTATGCTATCTTAACGTTAAAGAAATGGTCCAAAATAAAAGCAAAGGGAAAGATGCCAAAAACAACACGCATAGCATTATATACCCTTATCATTTCCTTTCACACTACTTTTATTATATATATATGTATATATATAACTATTTATTTATTTTTTATTTTTAAGAAAAAAGTATAGTTCAGTATTGTAGCTAGAAAACTGCTTTTTGATATTTGCAAAACCAGCTTTCTTTGCTTATTGGAAAAACACCCTTCTGTGGACATGGAAAGACAAAACGAGGCCATCGACAAGAGAAGAGAGTTTTCATGCACAAACAGATTCTCAAAATCAAGAAATTTATATAAATCACAAAAGTGTAGAGCTTATATATGTTAATTATTCATCCGAAGAAGTGAAAAAGAAGAGAGAAATGGGAGAGAGAGAGAGAGAGAGAGAGACAGAGACAGAGAGAGAGAGAGAGAGAGAGAGAGAGAGAGAGAGAGAGATGTAAAAAACGTACCATTTTTAGGAGAAGAAGCAAATCTGACCGATGACCGATTGTAGAAACAGATCAATATATCTATTATCTATATTATATCTAAATCTATATCTATATGTGGGTTTGTTAAGAGATGCTTTTGAGTTTTGAGTTGGAGGTGAGAAAGAAATGGACGAGAAAAGAGAGGGCGAGAGAAATTGGCCGGTAATGGTGTTTGTTAAGCTTCGAGGACTAAAAAGTTTTTTTAATAGACTTTGAAAAGAGCGAAAAAACCAAGGAGGATATCTAGATGCATGTAATTAGGGTAGGTATTTGTTTATTATATATTTTTTTTGCTTGAATTTGTTTATTATAATTTACTTGATGGATAAAATATCTCGTATTTATGACAATAGAGATTACAGTTTTTTTTCATGGGACGGGGCTCCGCCCGAAAAGGACAAGGATAGGGGACCATCATTAGGGTTGGAGGTGAGGATGGGAAAAAAACTTCCCCGAGGCGCAACATGATGGGGTCGAGGGAACCACTCCCACTCCTCTTCCGCCCTCATATTCATATAAATATATTTTTATATAAACAAATATATATGTAGAACTGAAAATTCGGGCGCAGCCCGAAAGGGTAGTTAGGGCAGGGCCTGGCCGGCCAGTAGTTTTAATCAGGCCGGGTCAGGCCGGCCCTAAATAACTTTATATAGGTCTAGCTCGGCCCTAAGAACCGAATCGGCTCGGTTCGATCCGAACATGATTTATAAAAATTTTAAAAAAAAGAACGAAATTTATAATAAATCGCGAATATTGTAAAATTTTAATGGAATAAGACTTTATTTATGTAATTATAAAAACTTCATTAAAAACCTTACCAAGAAAAACCCATTGGGATAAAACCTTGGTAAGAAAAAAAAGAGTGCAGTATTATTTTTACAGTTACAATTTATATATACTTAAGAAACAAAAATATCTAGCTGCCTGCTACACTACTCCCGGCATCAGAAGCGTCATCGTCAATGTATAAGTTTTAAAATTGATCAATTAAATCTTTGTCTTTGGCACAGTGTTGCATTCGCAAAAAAACATTTTTCCAATCTTTTAGACATATTAGCACCTCAACCATTTCTGGAGTCAACGAAGTCCTTCTTTCTTCAATTATCCTCCCAGCTGTGCTAAAGGCAGATTTTGAAGACATTGTTGATACTGGAATAGTCAAGATATCACTTGCTAATATTGAAGGTACTCGAAATCTTACACCTTGTAGCTTCCACTATGCGAAAATTTGGAAATTGTGATCATTATTAGCACCATCTATCACCGAGAATTCCGTCTCAAGGTATCCGTTGAGCTCCTTATATTGTGTCGTCATTGGTGTTGATGGTGGTGGCATGACACTCGCAGTTGATGACGAACTAGAGCCACCACGATGAAAAGATATAAAATTCCAAAACTTCTTTTTTGAGCAGGCCGGCTGATCTTATTGCGTTTGTTGAGTTGTCAAGTTACCGAACTTGTTCTCGTAAATTGCATAAATCTCAAACAACTTCTCACGTGTGTTAACAACCTGTGAAGTATAATCTATGTCTAACTAGCCACCGATATGAGAAAGAATATTTCCAAGACCGGATAATTTTACTCTAGGATCCAAAATAATAGTAAACAATACGATAGAGGAATTTCAGACTAATATTTCCTAAACTTTGCTTCCATTTTTTTTTACCATTGGTTTAAATAACATATCATTTCTATACGTTTCAAATAAGTCTGTAATCTCACAAATTTGTTGCAATAGAAATGGAGAAGTAGGATAATAAATACAAGATAATAAAACAGTAGAATCATAAAAAACCCCCAAAGAAGACACAAATCGTTCACATATAAACCAGTCATCTTCCTGCAGGAGATTTCAGGCTATTTTTGGGCCGGGCCATTTTAGGCTATTTTCAGGCCGGGCTATTCGGGCTCTCCGGGCTGGGCTCGGGCCGCCTGCGGGTCTGGAATTACCGCCCCGCCCGGCCCTACACTTGGGCCGGGCTTGTATGGATTCGGGCCGGGCTAGGCTAGTCTCTAGGCCCACAGTAACGAGCTTCGGGTCGACCCATCTAGCCCGGCCTAAATTTTCAGCACTATATATATGTATAAAATTAACTTTTAAAATATCTAATTAGACCTCTTGATACTTTATTACAAAGATTTGGTATGCATATGTCTAGAATTTGGTTTGTTTTGTACAACCTTTAACTTTGGTTTTATGTATAAAATTAATTTTCAAAATATATAATTAGACCTCTTGATGCTTTATTACTAAGATTTGGTGTGCATATGTTTAGAATTTAGTTTATTTTATACCACCTTTGACTTTGGTTTAATCTATAGTGAATTTCTACTTTATTTTTGTTTTAAATTGCTATAATTGTGAAATTATTAAATGAGAAATATAACAGGTATGGAGAAGGCTCCCATAAAGAGGACTCTCCGACCTCGACCCCGCCCTTCCTTAAGCGGGGATGAAGACAGGGATAATGGAGACAATTCATTTTATGAATTGGGATTCTGGATTTTGTGAGTCTTTAAATGATTAGGATATTGTAACAATTTGATGCCTAAATTTGGGTAAATGCCCGATTTAAGGGCATATTTTCTAAAGTAAATGATCACACCTTTTCTAAATTAGTAAAATGGCTGATTTAATTTAAAGATAAAGCCAAAAAGACAAAAATTATCTTTCCTATTACCTATCTCGTCCATCACTGAGATCAATGAAGATCAGAGAATCTCCGGCATCGCATAACTCCCACGGCAGCCTCCATGATGATCTATGGCGTCACACAGCTCTTGATCTTGATCTTGCTCTTTCCATTACCGTCTTCGTGATGATCTCCGGTGATGTCTCGTAGAGTTTTCCGGCATTGCAGATCTCCGATATATAGGTGTTTTTTCGTTTATAATTACTTCAAAATTTTATGGAAAAAAAACACAAACAAAAAAATTTGAACCGCTGTTCATACCCACAAAACAAACATAAGTACTATAGTCAACTATAAATCAAACATAGCAAGTATGGTCGACCAATGCTCCGTGAAGGAGTGAAAGAGCGAAACCAAACTCTATGAAGAAGATAGATCTAAACGAAAGAAGATGGGGATAAAATAGGAAAACTAAAAAAAATCTACCGAAAAAATTAAAATCATAAAAGTTTGTAGGAAAAGATGGTTATTAAACCATGTTAAGTGGCCATTTTGAGTGGGTCCCACTTTGTCAATGTGAAAGATTAAAGTAGAATCAAATTCTCCTTCACGAGATCTTCAAAACGGTATATAATATGCTCAAAGTGACATTAGGTGAATGAGGAATTGAGACTCAAAGTATGCTCATTGCTAATGGAAAGTTGGAAGCACATAAAGAGGGAATTAAAAGTCCCACATAGGAAAGGAGCTACAACTTCATGAAGTTTATAAGTGTTTGCACTATTAGACATGTGTATGAGCTTATACCTATAAGGCTTTCTCATGCTCAATAAAGTTTTTCGGGCTTGTTGTGGATTTTATTTTGCAAATTTTTTATTTACTTTTTCCAACAAATTTGAATTTATTTATTTATTTTTTGTTAAATTCGGTATCAATTTCAGAATTCCAACAGCTTGGAATTATGAGCGTCATTAGTGCAGGTTTATTTCTAAATCTGGTCTCATAATTCAAACCTCAACAATTTGGGATTAAATTAGATTAATTCCCATTATTTTTGGGTTTAAAACCTCCCCCACAGTAGCCTATGAAAGGAGGCCTCCTCAGCCATTTGGGGACACACCATTCAGAAGTTCTTCTGCTCCTTTTTCTTTGTGCTCTTGTTTTTTTCTCTGTTTCGTTTATGTCTTAGGAAGTTGAGGAGTTCTGGTGATAGGAGGAAGGCATAGTCTTAGTTCGACGGAGTAATTCTTCTGGTGTTAAAGCTCCGCTCATCGTCATTGTATTTTGAGAGACAGACAATCGTGAAAATCTCAAACACCCATGGAAAGGGCGAATTTATTTTAAAGAAATTGTGAGTTTCCCGTGAATCGCAACACCTGTCTTGAAGAAAGTGTCATTATGCCCTAGAGCCTTCCATGTCTTACCACATTTTGAATATCAATCCCACGTATTTCCCTCCTAATATAATTACAATGACAACAACAACAACGAATCCACAAAATCTACAAAATCCACAAAATCAACAAAATTTCAAAAATTCACAATACTCACAATTAATCACCACAAGAACGGGGTGATTGTTTTTCAGTGAAGTCAGCTACCACCAAAGGCCACAAAGTTCGGCGACAGCGTCCAAATTTCCAGCCAAATAAGGTTTTGGCAAATTGGGGGTTTTAAGATTTTTGGGCTCCAATTAGGAGAATACTTTATGTCACGACCGACAAATTTATCGAATAAATTATTATAATACATAAAATTTTCTGAAATTTTTTGTATTATAAATATGAATACTTTTATGATAAGTATTTGTTGATATTAGTATTGAATAGCAAAGTACAAGTTAAAAGTTAAAAATTTCTGACATATGATGCAGTTACCGAATTTCATACTGTAATCAAGAAAGTGGCACGGAACGTTGTGTTATTCCCACAAGTGGGAAAACACATGAATATTAAGGTTAAGAAATGAAAAAGAATTGAAAAATATTAATTATAGGGTTTTAGAAATAAATAGAACGAAGAACAGACGAAAAAGGGGTTCATAATGTCGAACCGAGAAAATTAGGGTTTTCGACCGATTATGGTTGATTGAATCCAAATTTGTTGACCAAGAGTTGACCAATAGGCCACTCTTGAAAAGTTAGTCAAGGTTGAGGAAAGTTGACAAAGTTGACCAACTGTCTGATAAACACAGATAAAACGCGCACCAGATAGGAAGTAAATTGAACTGAAGTAAGATAGTTATTAAAAATGAATGGTTGAGATTTAAGGTGACTAAATGGATGGAGGGCTGAGATTAGGACACCTAGAAAGAGAGGATATGGCTGGCCAAGCTTTTTTTTTTTTTTTTTTGCAAAAAAGACCCTAAAAAGTGTCAAAATTACACCTAGGTCCTTCTTCTCTTTTTGTGAACGGTTTTATAAGAAAAAAAATATTTTGAGCACATCACGAGCATGACATGACCCATTGAGCACAATGGACCGGCAAGATAAATATAAAATTTTTTCTTTTTATTAATAAATTTTCGTTATTATTACGTATCTCTAAACAAATATAAAAATTGTTATTACAAATAAATTTTTGTTAGTTTTAATTTGTTATTCATTTATGTTAGTTATCTCTTTTTTCAGTATTAATTTAAATAAAATAGAAAATTTTATTTTTAAATTAGTACTTATAATGATGATGGCATCTAAGTTCTTTGTTTTTTTGCTTAGTAATAGGATATGAAAATTTATTTTTAATTGAAAACTCTTGAAAAAATAATTTTAAATGTCTCAATGGTAGAATGGGCCGGCTTAAAGATCTATTGTGCCAAGTACGATAAAGGCATGGGTTCAGCACGAGCAAGAGCACGAACAGGCCGGGGCCTGTTTTTAAATATTGGGATGCACTAGCATGACGCGAAGTTTCAGTGGGATAAGCCAAGCATGGTACGAAGCACCCTTGGACCTAGCTGATCATGGGCCCAGCCAGCACGACACAACACGATTGACATCTCTATTTGGAGGAATCTTTAATGTTCGAGAAGGTTCCAAGATGTTCTAGAAGGTTCTACTACACTCTAGAATATTTTAGAAGGTTCTAGAAGTGTTGAGATATTTATAAAATTCTTTAGATGTCTTTAAAACTATCTTGAAGTTTTACGATACTTGTAGAATTTAGGAAAAGATTGTAGAAGGTTCTAGAAAGTAACATAACATTGAATGTAACTAGGAAGTTTACTAGAAGTTTATAGGCTTGTATAATTCTATGAAGATCTTGATAATTCATATTAGGAGATCTCTTGACCTATAAATAGGAGGAAGGGTCTTCATTTAGGATCAATTCTCATGGATGGAAACCCCATGGATCCATTCAAGACAACTTCCTCATTTGTAATCCTTTTATTTGGAGTTAGTAAAGCTTTTTTTCTTTATTCTCTTGCTCTTTACCTGGGGTTAGAAAGACTGACTTAGCATTAAGAAAGTGTTGAGTGTTAAGTGCTGCATAATCGCGTTATGAAAAGATTGGACCGTGACAATAAGAATCCTTATTCTCTTGAATATCGTCAACTAACTAAAGTCATTCATCTGTTTTGACTGATAATATTTATCATAATTAATTAAATCAACCATTAATAAATCTAGAATTTAATGTCATTGGGGGCATTGATGATATTTTTGTAAATCATTAAATTATTATTTATAAGTATATACTACTAAATGCTTCCGTTAATTTATTTCATGTTCAGTTATTTTAATATGTTTGACACTTTGTTTCACAAGAATTTAAATTTAGCATTATGTAACACATACTTCCAATTAGTTAATAGTATTAGGAGTTAATATTTTGAGGGTTTTAAACATTCTTTATATATTATCTTGCAGTTTTTATGATTGCATTGTGGACTACTGCTCAGTTAAAAGATGATTTATCTTGATAACCAAAGTAGGTTTCTACAAGTAGAGATATTGATATATTACTATTTGACAAATTAAGGCCATTGTGATTTTCATTTGGCAATAATTCTGTTCAATTAATGGAAAAGAATTCACTTTGATGACCTACGCTACGTATATATAAAATCTAAATGTAACTAGTTGTGTCAACTTGGATGATAACTTCTCTCAGATTGCATAAATATCAAAAAGGTCCTAGATTTTTTTTTTTTGGTAATATTATATAACTAATTTTAGTCCTTGAATTTCTTCCCCTTAGAAGAGGAACAGGTGACCCTTTCCGTTAAAAGTTTCAAACGAAAGTTGGTGTCACGACCAACTAAACATAACTAATTGAGTTTAAGAAAATGTGCGTTTAGTTAGTGAATTCGTGTCATGGTTCGGATCATAATTCGTGATTTGTTATAATATTTTCTCTCACAAAACATAATTCTGAATCATAATTCTAAATACATAAACTAAACGTCCACTAAATTTTGAGTGCTAAATTGTGAAATATTCATGAAATAACGTTCTTATTTCTTCAAAGGCAATTAGTGAGAATTCTTTTCTGTTAATTGCATCCCCCGAGACTTGAACTCGGGTTACTCAATACAAATAAAACAACTCGCACACCCACTAAACATCAATTTAATTAAAGACGATTAGTGAGATTAAGCCTCACTAATTATTAGCCGATCAACCGTTAAATCGGTACAACAATGGGAGCTGGTGGGACACGCTTTTGTAAAGGGAAACAACTCCACCCATCTTCCTTGCTATAAGACACAATAAAATGCTTTGGAACCCAATTTTCACATCTTGATTCTCTCTCTCTCAAGAGATTCCTCTGTTTTTCCTCAACAGCATTCTTTGCTTCACTTGCACTTCCCCAATGTTTGCTTAGGATTCCTCTGCTCACCTCACTCCACACTAGGGCTGACTCACTTGCCCACACTGCCTATATATATATATATATATATATACACACACAAATTATGACGTCCAAGTTACTATACACAAATATATAAATTAGTAAAGTATATATGTGTTTATCTATGTGGAGCTACATTACTATAATGAGACATGAGATTTTGAAAAAAAGAATATATATATATATATATATATATTGAATGCAAATTATTGGAAAGTTCTAATAATGGCACTACTAAATTAAGAAAATTATGGCCGTGTTTAGAATTGATCTCATTTTTATTTTTCACATTTAAAAAAAAAAATGAAAACGTTTTCAAAACGGCGTTTGGCGCAATAAAGACAAAAAACAGAAATAAAAACGATTTTTTGATTTAGTTTAAAATGAGAGAGAAATATTTTTTCTCCTCTCTCAAGTTGAAAGAGAGAGAGAGAGCGATATTAATGAGTTGTTTTATACTAAAAGCAATCTCTTGATAGAACTACCAAACGCATTTTCAAAAATGATTTATGTCAAAAATTAAAAACATTTTTATTTTTATTTTCATATAAAAAAATAAAATTATTTTGGAACGAAATTCAAACGCGTCCTATAATTCTGCTCGCACTCAACAAAAATTATATATGTGTCCTCGTTTAATAATTAGTAATTAGTAAAAATTATATATGTGAAAAGGCTGAAAGTCTGAAACTATTCTTGTGAACTAAAAAGTACATAAAAGAATGAGTAAAGAAGAATACAATTAGTGGTAGTTACCTTTGGATCCTTAACAATAGGAGTTTTGAGTCCAGAAATTACTTCTATTGCCTCGTATATCACTCTAACATTACCACTTTCAAGGTCCTTCAACGTGACGGTACTGCAGTGAAGATAAACGAAAAACTTTTTAATTGTTGACATATTATATATTGTTGAAGGCGAATAAATTAAATAATTGGTTGCGGCTAATAAAACTTTGGTTCTGTTTAAGGGAATGGAGAATAATTATGAGAAATTACAGTAAATAGTAAACTTTTAAAACTAAATTAAATAAATAATAGATTTTAAAATTATTTAAAATAAATAACAGTTTACGTAGTAAATAAATCATTTACTACGTAAATGAATAATTTATGATTGGTAAAAATAACTTACGTGGTAAAAAATTTAAAATTTTTCTTACATGAAAAAATTCTTTTTACGTGAAAAAAATATTTTTACTAGCTATAAATGAATTATTTATGAGGTAAATGATTCAATTACTACATAAACTATTAATTATTTTAAATAATTTTAAAATATGTTATTTACTTAATTTAACTTGATGGTTAGATTCAGTACAAAACTCTATTACAAGCATTGTGATAATGACTATATGTACTCTTCTGTTGCCCAAAAAAAAAATTAAAAAAAAAATTAAAAAACTTAAGGAACTCCAAAGTCTTAAAACTTTATCCCGAAAACAAGATTCATGTGCATAATGCTTGATTTAACGTTCGTGAAAAAAGAAAAAAAAAAAAAAGCAATTATTTTTTGTTTTACGCGACGGTTTGGTCGCTGATTCTCAAATAGATTTAGTAACCATTCTTTTGACATACTTAAAATTATTAAAAGATGGGTGAATATTAGATTTATATATTTGAACGACAAAAGGAAAAAAAAGATTTCGGTACAAATGACCCAGGATTTTTTTTTTTTTTTTTTACAAAATTGACCGTTTTCATTAATTTGTTGGTCAATTATTGATTGACTTAGTAGTTAATTACTGATTGATTTTAGTTCATCACTGATAATTCTTCATTATTAATCAATATCAATTAATAATGAACCAAAATCAATTAATAATTAATTAATTTCAATCAACAAATTATAAGTTTATTAATGAAAAATTATTGATAAATTATGGGTCAATGATTCACTGTGAGTCAATCACTGATTGACTCCTTAAAAAAAGAAGAAGTCATTTTTGTAAAATAAAAAAAGAGGAGTCATTTTCGTAAAATAAAAAAAAATCGATAATTTAGCTAATTTTTCTAAAAAAAGTGTTTTTCATTTCTGATAATTGAGTTACCTATTCCAATGGCCGCCGATCTCAGAAAGAAGTTTTGACGAAGATGAATTAAAGATCTTTCCCTTGATTGAATTGGGACTCCCTCTAAAACCTAAAAAGGATCTTCCTCCGTACGATAACTCAGCTTCGAGATCTGTCTCGTTGCATCGTATTCTACAAATACCTACCCACTCCACCCCAGTCACCGGAAAAAATTTAATTGCAAGCTTCGGACATTTCATCGTATAAGTTTCTCCATGATTCAACAACTTCAGCTGCCTTGTTCCATTCACTTCTGTTTCCACTGAAGTACCTGCAATATTTATACTTATTTATGTTTAATGAAGACAAAAAATGAATCTTTTACGTACATAAAAGAGCCAAAAACTTTCCAAAAAAAAGAAAAAAAAAGAAAAAAAAAAGGAGAAAAAAAAGCCAAAAAATATGTGTCACTATAAGAAGACTTAGGCATCGTTCATTTCACCGATTCGAGTTTTCAGTTTTAAATTTTTACAGTAAAAAACTCTCAGAAAATGTCACATCTAACTTTTTCTGCTACAGTGAAAAGCTCTTAGAAAATGTTACATCTCAACTTGAATTAAAAACTCGAATCCACAAAGTGAACGAGACCTTAAAAGACATCATTTTTTTTTTCTTATTTTCTTTGTTTTTTAAAACATTTCCATGATTTATCTTTTTCTATTTTCTCTTTCTTTTAATTTTTTTTTTAATTTTTACTAAACTAAACCCTTGAAAAATAATAAGTTAAAAAAAATAAAATTTTTTAAATAAAGATTTAAATTTATGTACTAAAAAAAATGTAATACGTTGAATGCATGTTAAATATTACACACGTAGCATGTGCTTTCAATTAGTAATTCAAGAAGTGACGACACAAAAATGCTTTGTACGTATTGCAAAAGTCGTGACACATAGGTGATAGTAGGATGGGCCTTGAGCTGCCCTACGTAAGCGTTTTACAAACTAGGAAATAGTAGAAAATAGGCTAATATGAAAATTTTAAGAAAATATATAGGCAAATTTTTAGTTATAGAAATTAATAGGTTATAATTTGTGAAGTTATGATTCATAACTAGATAAGTTATGGACAAACTTGTCAAGTTATGATTCATAGTCAGACAAATTATGGATAAAAACTGTGATTTATAGACAATAACTTATCAAGTTATGGTTCATAACCAGATAAATTATGGACAAAAATAGTAATTTGACCTATTTATTAACTTATATAAACTATTGGCCTATTAATTTTAATTCATCTTAAATCTTGATCTATTTCATTCTTTCTCCCTACAAACTATGCGTCCCAACTAGTAAAGAGTTGGGATAAATAGTATTATTCATTTAAAAAACAAATAGATATAAGATCATTAAGCACAAACACTAGCGAATAATTGCCAAGTAAAGGTCTCTACAAAGCAATTCCCTCACTAAGAACTTGTGAAACACGTGAAATATTCATAATTAAAGAAAAAACTAGACTTATTTCATGGTAAATATTTAACCAAAAAAAGAAAGAAAAAAGAGAGGGGTAATATTGTACCATAAAATTTTGGAACTAGATTGTGGCACCAGAGAATTTCAAGGTTTTCTTATATATATATATATGGGATGTCACAAGTTTATCAGGCTTCGTATACCCACAGATCATGACCTGTCTATAGATTTATAAAGGGTATTTTTAAATGGAAAATTAGTTTAGGTCAAAATTCTATTTGCTTAATGAAAAGTTTTTAAAAAGGAACTTAATGAAATGTCATTGGTGTTGAAGATTTAGAGCATCTTCAATGCAATGTTATATTTGATGTGCCAATTGTGATTTAAATTTGAGTGCAAAAAACACCCTCTAATGTAATGTTATTTGTTTAAATTTCTAATATGCTATACTTTGTGGTAATTTTACCACCAAATACATTTGATTCCCATTGGTTGATATTATTTTTCATTTTATCATTGTAACTTTTACATTTTTTAATTATTTTAAAATTAAAAGTCAAACTTTAAAAGGTTAGTAATGATAGGAAAAAATAGATTTAGTATTTTAAATAGCATTATGCATTGTAACACAAATAAAAATAGCATGCTTCATACTTTTTTATGCCAAATATATAATAGGCATTTACACTTACATTTGAGATGGTCTTACATACAACTTGTTGAGTATATTATAGATTAGCTAGAGATATCTAGGTTTCTTTTAGAGAATTTGTATGTAGGTTCCTTATTCCTTCTTGTAAACTGAAAATAAGTCATCGATCGATTTTGTGAAAAATAAAAGGGCTCTTGTTCTTCCTGTAGAACTCTAACAAAATGTTTGGGGACCACACCACTAGTGTTAATCACTATAATTAATAGAAAATGAAACGTCCTCTCTATTAATATGTGATGTTGAACACTACCGACCTCTTTAGGACGTTCAACAGTTTATTATGTACATGACCTAATATGGTAATAAAGAATTTTTTATCCAACAAAAAATTAGATCGGTCTCGTTTATTTTGTTAATTCTAATCTCAATTTAAGTTTTTACTATAATATTTTTTCTTAAAAAAATTCATATTCAACATTTTATGTTATAATGTTTTCTCTCACATAAATTCACTTTTCAATCCGAATTAAAAACTTAAATAGTAAAATGACGAAGTCATGAGATTTTTACTTTTTAAGTAGAAGGACAAAAAGTTGTTTTGAGTTTGTAGAAGTAACCTCTGAAGGTTTTGAGATGACAAAAATGTCCTTATTGTGACATATGAAGCTTTAGTGCATGACAAGAAGATATATTATTTTCATCAAAAGAAACACAAAGAACAACTGGCATCACTCCCACTTAACCCCACTCAATTTATTAAAATATAATAAATTTACCTAAAAAAGGAAAGATAACATGCGCATAAATGGACTATATAGGACATTCTATTTAAAGGGATAAACTAGTTGAATCTTTTAAGCTAAAAGACACAAATATGTGACAAGACTAATTAGCTTATAAATGTGATATGACAACACAAATGTTTTTTTGTCTCGACCAATATTAGATCGTAATCCAACACCTCTATTTTTGTGTCAAGAAAAGCAAAGATGGGCTTTTCACACCCAAAAAAAAAAAAAAAAGACCAATATTAGATCGTGGTCCAACACCTCTATTTTTATGTCAAGAAAAGCAAAGATGGTCTTTTCACACCAAAAAAAAAAAAAAAAGAAGTTGCCTTTCTATCAGGGAAGAGGAAATAAATAAAACAAAAAATAGAAATTCATATATATATATACATATATATATATATATTACCTGCTCAAGGACGACATTGAGGGTTCCCCTAGACATGTGATGGGTCTCACCAAGAATTGGGTTGTATGGAGCAACACCAAAGATCAAAGGACGTAGAGTTGAAATTCCCCATGCTACTGCCCCTATAAACCTCTCCAATGGGGTCTCTCCTCGGTTGCATTTTCCCAACAAATCATCACTAACGCTATACATTGACTCACCATAACACTGAAGTTGTGATTTTGGTATGTTGAAAGCCGGTGGAAGCTGAAATTAAATTAGAGGATAAAAGAGGGGACAACCATATTAATAACTTGATTTTCTACACTTTCACTGTAACATTTTTAAGAAATTTCTTCAGCCTGGTGATGGCTGTATCAGTTCAACAAATGTAACGTAACATTTTTTTTGTTTTGTCATTGTAATATTATAATTTGTACGTTCATGTAATACTCAAAAAAATATAATCTTGATTTCTCATAAAAAAAAAAAAAAAAGACAACCATATCAATAACTTGATTTCCCATGTACACTTTCACCATAACATTTTAAGAAATGTCTTCAGTTTGATGAGATAGACCATATCAGTTCGACAAATATAACATAATTTATACGTTCGTGTAACACTTAATAAAATAAAATCTACCATCATCTACCACAAGTTATATTAAATTTGCTTCAATATTACTATACACACCAAAAAGTTACACGTTCATAAAAAAAAAATTACTCATGTCATGTCAAATCGTATAATCGTTAGACTTATGACAATACCTAACATTTCAATGCGAAAAGAAAAAGAATTATGACTAGTTGTGAAAATTAGGATAAGTGCAATGCTACGTATGATAACACACAATTTAGTTAAGGTGCCTAGGTTTTTTCTTTCTTTTTTTCTTTTTTTTTTTTTTTATCTGTAAACTTATGGTGACCACTTGATCAACTTTTATGGCCAGCCCCTGTACTTTGTCCATATTGAGAATTACATATCTACTTCATTGTGTGTTGACTCTTTGGCAATTACTGAGCAGCCACGGTGCCGTGGGAAAGCCGGAAGGAATGAATATGCATCTCGCTCATTCATTCTTATATATCCCTTTACACATAAATATATATATAGACAAGTAACGTTGGTTCATGAATTTAAAATCATGATTTAGAACCATTTTCGATTTAAGTGTGTTTTTGTGAGAGAAAATATTTTAACGAACCACGAACCATGATTCAAATTATGACACGAATCCACCAACCAAACGCAAGAATATGAAGAGAAAGTGTAATTGATTTCAGGAAGATTAAAACATGCCAACTATCTTAACATCTAATAGCAAACTAATACTTCCTCTTTATATATGTATATTATATGTTTATATATTTCGATAAATCATAATACAGTCCTTCGTCTTTATTTGCCACACGTATTAGGTGTGAAATTATTGTCAAGTAATACTCACTGTCATGTTTCATTTATTATAAAACTGTACCTAGCAAAGTGACTGGTTTTCATTTTCATATCTATTTTAAATTGATATAAAAGACAAACAACCAGAATATGTAGAAAGACCATAATGTGGGGGACAGTTTTGAGCTACAAAAATTGATAGATGAGAGATGTCATGAAAGTTACAAATATCTTTTAGTTTCCGTGCGTATAATGTCTTATTTCTGTAGTAATTTATAAAAAAAAAAATCAGAAAAACAAGTTATAAATACTTAGTTTCCGTGCGTATAATGTGTTATTTCTGTAAAAAAAAATCAGAAAAACAAGTTATAAATACTTCAAAGAGAAGAAAATAAAATGAGTAGTTACTCGCCTGCATTCGAGTGAGATCTGATCCTGGCCGTATATTTTTGAAAAGACTGAGAATCCGTTGGATAAGATTAGGTGCACTGTAATCATCATCAGAGCCACCCTTTAGCGACAATGGCTTCGAGAGAACAATCTGCGTCTCCACCTTCCACTCTGTGCTCTGCACAACACCGTAATATTCCCAAACCATTGAACAAATAGTTTTCTTTTTCTCATCACGCATAACATTTTTTCTTGATAATAATTATTGTGCATCATTGTTTTTCAACAAAAAATTGCATCAAAATTAGGTCAACAAAACATGTGAAATCAAAATATATGCAAAACCAATTAGTTGTTAACACCTTGGCAATAAACCTGTACGTGACAATAACTTAACAACTTAAGAACACTTATAGGAGGGAAAAAATTAAAAATTATATAAGTAGTACTCAAAAATATATAACTAATGTAAAAAAGTTACATTCTCCCACCTTCTAATATTTTAACCTTTTAGAAAAATAATAAATTAACACGGTGTTAGAGTAAGTGACCCTAAATAAATTTATTAAGCCTTTAAAATGTTTCAAACTTATCATCAAATATTTATGTGCAATGCATATTTAATCACAAAATTGTCCATTGTTCAACCCTCATACATACGAAGGAGCATAACTATAAACTCGGGCCATATGATCTGACTCGCTTTCTTTACTAGGTTGAGTCAATTCTACTCAGATGAGTAAATGGTTGTACTAGTCTAGTTGGCCGAGCCAATCCAAAACTTTATTAGGATTTTTTTTTAATTCTAAAAAAAAAAGGTGGATTGAGCAAAACCGGCATAAAGAGTGACTTTTAGATTTAGGCCTCGTTCACTTCGCAGATTTGAGTTTTCAATTCGAGTCGAGATGTGACATTTTCAGAAAGCTTTTTACTGTAGTAAAAAAAGTTAGATGTGACATTTTCTGAGAGCTTTTTACTGTAGAAACCTAGAACTGAAAACTCGAATCGGTGAAATGAACGAGGCCTTAGATTCTTTAGTCTGACTTATTTTTATGCGGGTAAGGTCTGGCCGAAATCTTGAGCATTGGTCCAGCCCTAACTTACAACTCTATAAATGGTTGTGAGAAATATTACTCATTAGTCATTAGGATAACTATTAAAAAAAAAAAAAAGATATAGTGGGAATAGTTAAAACGAATGTATTTATTAGGTTACCCTCAGCGCTTACTTGTAATCAGTTATTGGGTGAGAATATATGCTTCTAGATGCACGTGGGATTCAATAGATCACTGTGTCCTGTTCTTATTTCAAAAATACTGTATAACAGTACAACGAAAGATTAAAACCTATAATAGCGAATTAGGAGGATGTAAATTTTGTGTAGTGGACAATGAATGGCAATAATAATTCTTCCTAACGAAAAATAATACGACAACAAACAAACAGTAACAAAAACAAACAAAAACTGTGCAGACAAACTCAGAAAGGAAAAAATATTACGTACCTTCAAACTTCAAATTCCGTACCTTCTTATTTATTTATTTATTATTTTTTGATTTTCTAAAATTAATCTCATTGGTGCCGCTTAAAGTTAATTTGGATCATTCTTACTTTACTTCTTAAATATTCAAAACTCTTATTTTACCCCTTGAATTTTGAATTTGTCCAAATATTTAAGCCATTTTGTAAGAATTTCTATTGAAAAAAAAAAAGAGAAATTTAAGTATAATTATGTGGTTTTTATATATTTGTTTTTAATAAAATAAAAATTTTTAAAGTTTAAATAGCGAACTAAGAATGACCATAATTCAAAAGCCACCGGTGATAATATGTAAGGCAAAAACAGCATTTACTATAAAGACATATGCAATATACAATCAATTTTGGAGCATGCACAAGTGGCCTACTAGGGGCTGCCCGTGCATGCATGGCATACTTCTTCAGCAGCGTTTGTTGAAATAAGAAAATATCAAGATAAGAAAAAATACAAACAAACATATACATATATATATATATATATATCTTAATTACACTAATCAAGTTGTTTTTACTTTTTTTTTTCTTAGAAACTTGAAGTGGAAGTTTAAATTTCCCTTTAATTAAAAAATAGAAACTAATGAAGGCAGACTTATTGGTAATACTTATTTCGTTTGTAGGCGCTACAAGCTTTAGAACCTAAGTGGGGGTCTACATATATATTACGAGTCACCTCAAAAACATTTTTCTTTGGCTAATTATTTACCACGCATATAGATCATATACTCTTTCACCAAAAAAAAAAAAAAAAAAAAAAAAAAAAAAAAAAAACTAGCCCTGGATTGATCTTAATTATCATTCAAACGTCAGCTCAAATATATTTAGAAGTAATAAATAAATAAGAGACGTCCTAAAAAATTATAGAAGACAAGCCACATTCCGACTTAAATATTCATCTCAAGTCAACAAAAGGACAATATCGAGAGCGTTGCATTTCCTTTTCCTACGACATATTCCAAGCACAAAAAAAAAAAAAAAGGAAAAAAAATTAAATAACTATTGCTATGTATATCATCTATTTACGTACACATTTTCTAGTAAACGATCATGAGAGGAAAAGAACCGTCAACCGTTCATTATAGTATATTATGTATGTGTGTACGTGTTGAAGATTACATCTGGCTCCTATTTGTATTTTTGTAGTACAAACAACAGAAACAAAATTTCCAGAAATAACAAACTGTTTACAAAATGAAAATGGACCATGCCTTTCAGATATTTCTCTTTAACCTGTTTCTTTATTATTATTATTATTTTCTTTTAACGTAAAATCGCATCGTTCAAATGTTGCCGGTCACCAGAGTCACCTGAGTGACTACGATATCTACCGACCGGCACCCTTCTTTCACTTAGGTGATCGACACGATCTATAGCTGCCGGTTGCATATCTATGTTATATAGCAGGCCACATATACATATATGTATATATATACATATGTAGATGGTAATAATAAAGATAAAATTTGATCATTTAATAGAGCATTTTATATGTATCCACAAAGTTTTTCACAACAAGAGCATTCTTACTGTTTTCTTACTTTTTAGTACCAACTTAATTTTTTTTTTAGTACCAATTTAATTGGGATGTATTAGCTAATTTGACGTCAAATATATCTTCTTTTCATTTATTTAAGAATAACAAGCGAGTAATTCCAAGAAATTAAAAAAAGAGTGAATGATTAACTAAATAAATACAAAAAACAAAACGACAAAGAAGGAGAAGCTGAAGGAGAAGAAGAAGAAGAGGAGAGATAATACGCACCATTTTTGAAGAGATGAAAAAGTGAAGGTAATTGTAGTTGGAAAGAGAGAGAAGATGCAGAAACCAGGGTTGGTGAGAGATGGGCGAGAGAGATGGGAAACTTTGGCTTGTATTTGATTTTCTTTAAGGGACCAAAACGGCCTTTTTATAGACTTTCAAGATTGAGTGCCAACAAGGCAGAAATAAAGATGGAGGACATTTGGAAGGGAGATTCGTGCCATGATTCGAATCATGGTTCGTGGTTCGTTACAGTATTTTCTCTCACAAAAAACACACGTAAAACGAGAATAATTCTAAATGATGATTTTGAATCCATAAACTAAACGTTAGTGTTAATTTTAAAAAAATTTCTCCATGAATATTTTTTATTTTTGACAACTTTGGAAGTCTTAAATTGATGATGGATTTCTAAAATTTCACAGAAATCGTCACGTCATGGATACATAATAATTGAATTTTTTACATAAATAATTACACTAAATAACATTGTTTCAATTATATTGGCTCCCCTATTTATTGTCATGATGCAGGTTGTTTTTATTCGTTCATATCATGTCATGGCATCATTAAAATTTTAGTCTGGAATGGAATTTTCGGATAAAGTTTTGGGCGGATTTTATTCATAAATCATGGTGTTACCTTCTTCTAAAGATCATTATGATCGATTTGTATGTGATTTTTGTGTGTTATGCTTCTGTGTACTATTAAAAAAAACTATAGACTATATCACATTTTTTTAAATATTTTATTACATTATTTGTTGTTGTTGTTGTTGTTATTGTTAGTATTATTATTATTTTGCAGAAGTGTACTACACTATTATGATTGCAATAGGTGTCACACAACACGTTTGTTAGAATAATTAATGCCTCGTTCATTTACCGATTTGAGTTTTTAGTTCTAAGTTTCTACAGTAAAAGGCTCTCAGAAAATATCACATTTAACTTTTTTTGTTACAGTACAAAGCTTTAAAAAAATGTCACATCTAAACTCGAATTGAAAACTCAAATCCGCAAAATAAACGATGCCTACATTCTGCAATACGTGTGCGTGTATAAGAGTCTACTTCAATCCTTTCAAAAGTTTAAAGTTCATCATATACTTTTTTTTTTTTTGTATTAAAAAGCTTTTTGAAAAGTATACATATAATTAAAAGCGGGTTGTTACGTCTTTTTCTTTATGTAAAAAGAAAAAAGAAAAAAGATATAATATAATACCTATTACTAAAGCAGAGAACAATGATAGAAACTATTAGGGTTCTATGGAAGGATATCGTTTGCCAAATTCGTTGTATCGTCTTACTCACATTTACCCTAAATATCATAGAAAAGGAAACAAAGAATAACTATATAGAAACTGTTCGGGATCTCATGCCTAATGAGATCCTTCAGTCTGTTTAGTAGATGAATTTAAAATTATAATTCTAAATCTTCGTTTAAAATCAGTGTTTGTTTACAGTGATTTTGAATAATAATTCTGAATCATTATTTAAGAATCAATGTTTGGTTTGGATGATTCAGAATCTGATGTGATATTTTAAACTAGCTCAAATCATGATTCTAAAACCACCATCCATCTTGATTCAAGGTCATTCAAACCTCTGATCTGAATCATGATTTCAGAATCATAATTTGAACTAAAAATCATGAATCGTGTTTATAGTTTCAGAATCATGATTAGAATCACTTTAGTTTGATACTTGGTTTAAATTGGTATGATCCCTTAGTCTTCCTCACAACTTTTATTGTACTTAATTCTAGATCTTTAATATATATCTCAGAATTATAGGTCAAATCTCATTAAAGTTTTAAAATGTTGCATAACGAGTCTTCGATTAAACAAGCTGTCGTAAATTAGTCATTTTATGCGTCAATCAATTAAAATTTTGACAAAGAATAAATCGTGACTATCTTTCTTAACAGATATGTTTTGAAACGTAAAATTACAAAGTTAACCCTGATTAAATTTACAGCACATGATCGTTACTTTTTCCATGTGATTTTAAGACGACATGATAAGTTTGGAAAACTTGATAAATCAACAATTTATTCTAAGATATTTTAAGAATCATGTATCAAAATAAAATTGGACCTATAGTTCGAGGACTAATAATAAGATTGATCCTTTTTATAACTTAAAACTTGCTTTTTTCTTTTCTTTTCTTTTTGAGATTGATTTCTTTTAGATATACTGACAAGAGAGGATAATTCAGTTTTTCAACCAAAAAAAAAAAAAAATTCAGAGAGAGGATAATTAACATTGAAACACATTAAAATATTTTAATTACGGTACATACTAAAAGCCTATCTCCCACTGTCTTTCATTCTATTTTATTAATAAAAAAAAAAGTTACAATAGCATCAGAAACACTATCTGAAAGAGGACGATAAACATAAATTAATTAAAGCGTCATTGCTTTCCCTTACAAGTGTGTGTACATCATATAATATAATATAATATAACATAACATAATCTAACAATATAATATAATAGAAAATAAAACCTTTTTTTTTTTTTTTGTTTTTGCTTGAATTATGGTGTTTCTAGGTACTATTATACTTTCTTCAAATTATCTTAAGACATTCTTGTAGACCTACCAGAAAAAAAAGGCATTCTTATAAACAATTAAATAACATGTTTTAGTCGTTTTAAATTTTTTTTTTTTTAAATTGAGGTCCCGTTTATTTCGTTGATTCGAGTTTAGAATTTGAGTTTTGTTACAGTAAAAAGTTCTCACAAACAGTCACATCTAACTTTTTTGTTACAGTAAAAAATTTTAACATAAAGTCACATCTCAACTCAAATTAAAAATTTAAATCAACAAACTAAACGACCTGAAACTTTGCGTTCTATATAATATATATATATATATATATATGTATATAGACAGACAGATAGATAAGTAGGGAAATTAATAAAGCAGATTGGGTGGCCGTTGAAGGAACCGTGTATACCCACCTAAGTTGTACCTTTCTTTCATAGTTGCAATAAATTTTTGAAGCGAAATGACTGCTGTCTTATATTAGCTTTTAGCAAAGAAGAAACTCAAAGATTCATATTTAATGGTACTATTTTCAGTCGGTGTGACCATGTGCGCTAAGCAGTAGTTCACAATATAAATCAATGTATACTGTAGTCCTTTCGAAATAAATAAATAAATATATATATGTACATATATCAAAAGGGAAAAGACAAGCTACGTAAAAATATTTAATAATTTGAATTAAAAAATAAATTTATGTGAGAGAAAATATTATAATACAAAATATTGAATTTAGATTTTTATGAGAGAAAATATTGTAACAAGCTGTTTAAGTTGGGATTAGAATTATAAAATGAACATGGATGTAATAATAGCTAGAGAATTTCTACAGTATGAACTTTCTTTTTTATTTACTGATAGGAATTATTGTTTTAAATATGGTTGTGGATTAATTTTTAACAATCTAATTGGTGGATGTACACGTCAAAATTTGTAATACGTGATTCAAAACTACTTCAATCACATCACGCCGTAAAATCTTAATCTAACAGTTAAAACAGTAATATTTATATAAGTAATAAAAAAGATAGGCCTTAGATATATGCAAAATAATACCGAAAATAAAAGAAAATAGTAATTCAATTTTTTTCTTTTTCACTCACTCAGTTGGCTATAAATTGGTAATTTTTCTGGTAGGATTGAAAAAAAAAATTATCGATAATTCTCTCCTTTTCAGCCGTCACATCTGTATTAGAAACTGTCTATTTCGTATACTTTTTTAATTCTATAATTTAGACCAAATGCGACAGTCAAAAACTGATTCTATCAGCAGGTCGGGTTATTGAAAACGATTCCCTATAAATGAAGAGTGTCATTCAAGCAAATAAAAGAAAAAACAAAATTACAATTTCCATAATATTAATTATTTTAATTATATAAATAATGGTCAACAATTGAGATAAGGCCGGACCACTTGATACATGCATACATATATATGAGGTCCGGGAAGCAGCCGCTCCCCTAGCTCACTAGCTCTTCTCATATTTTGCCTGAAAAGTTTTTACATTTTTCTCCTTAATTTGCTGTCCCTAAAACTGTTTTAATAACAACATTCACATGATATTTTTAAGAACATTTTAATAGTACATAAGTTTCTTTTTTTTTTAAGTGCCCTCATTTTAAACATAAAATCTCTAATAAATTAAAAATAAACTGTACGATTATACTCTAAACGTTTAAAGTTAATATTAATCTCCATTACAAGTTTAGTTCATTTGAAAAAAAAAAATTAAAGATATAAATTGTTAGGTTTTTGTTAGTTGGCAGTTGTTTGAAAAAAGGTTATGGGCTGCCGGATGAGTCTTTTCCAGTGAGGGTGATGAACGTGTATGTTTGAAGGGAAAACACAACCTACAGAAAAGGAGTGTTATGGTGATGTCTAATTGGTGATTGAAATATTTGGCCTTCGGGAATAGCTTGCATCGCTTTCGAGAGAAAGCTTTTGAAGACGAGTAGTGCTTGCTGAACAAAGCCATTAAGAGGATTCTTCACAACAACGACTACGGCAAAGATGGAGTCTTTGAGTGCGTAAGACCGATTGGTGGCTGTAAATCTTTGAACTTAGTGGATTGTTCATTATTTGGACGTGGCCCTGCAGATGTAGGTGTGCGCACCGAAATGCGATATCATTTTTGGTGTTTTTTAATTTTCCCCTGCATTACTTTCTGTTTCTGCACGTTTTCAATTTTCTGTCTTTTGATCATCTCAGAACGTAATAGTTAATTGCAAGTGTTGTTAAAAGTGTTGTAACACTTTTTGTAACACCAGCGTGAAAGCAGACCTTTCATAAATAATTACTTAAAGATAAAAAAACTATTGTGTTGTAGTATAGTTCAAAATTTTTAGTTTGTATTACGTCCCCTTAAAAAAAAATTTTGCTCGATCACTATATATATATATATATGTGTGTGTGTATGTACATATATATTTGTGCACATACTTATGTATCATGCATGTATTAATTGCTAGCAAGTAATCTTGTAGTTGTGATGGTTGTATGGACAAAGACAACATATACAAATGGGTCCAAAGCGCAAGTGGAGGTTGTCGAAGGA